CGAATTGCAAGGTTGGAATTTTTTAGGCTTTTCAATACTCAAATAAAAAATAGGGTGAACAGATACATACTTAATCTACCATGTTTGTGGATTAGGTCCTCTTTCCTTGTTCCTTTGTAACAGAGACAAAGAAATACTTTTGACATTTATTGAAAAGACACAATGGAGATCTTTGCGGTGGAAGGAAAAGGGGCAAAGGGGCAAGGGGGCAAGAGGGCAAGGGGGCAAGGAAGCAGTTGCTTTTTGACTTGGTTTTATCGAAGGGCCAGGACAAATTCTGAAAGGATCCTAGGTCAGTTTGAGCTGCGATTTGAAAAGAGAAACTATATTTACTACTGTGGCATTAGCCTGTTTTCAGTCCCACACTCTTGACCTTTTCGAATTGAGGGGGTCATCTGCCATAATAAGGGGCCTGTTGTTCCTGAGCTGCCCAAGGACCCGTTGTGGCTCATAAAAAATGCCAACCCAATCTGGTCGGCAAAATTCTTCCCCAGCACCTACTCTAGAATCTTGGTTGCAAAGACCTAGACGATTATAAATGCAAAAGCTCCAATTCCTTAACTGAGAATGTAAGTTTGGTAGTTATACAGTTGACTAAAAATTTGATCAAAACCGTTGATCGGTGATGCTTTAATCGTGTCTTGCACAATTGTTTTCTTAATCTAGTCAATCTTTGTGTAGTTATCTTTCAAAGTGCAATTCAATACAGTTCAAAATTTATAGACTAAAAACTTATAAAGTATGATTGTTGAAGCAGAAGATGATACACAAGATCTTCCTTTCTATAAATTGATGGTTTTCTGAAGAAAGTTTTAGGACCAGGCCTAAGCCTAGAATCCAGTCCTGTCAATAACACAGAATTGGAAATTTTGACTTTTGTTTATGCTTTCTATTGAACCAGCTACATGTGAAATTGACTCCCAACTGCCAAATGCTAACTTGTACAATAGTTACAAGATCCACCTGTTTTATGTTTTGTAAACACCCAAATTTTTAGGCCAAGATCTTCTTAAAAAGCAGTCAAAATCGTATTTCGTTTAACAGTCTCATTGTATATTTCGCTTAAACATGTGACAGAAAATTAATATTTGATCTCCATTAATAATTTATTCAGAATTATACAATGTAACTTGAGATTGTTATGGCTTTTCGTAGGTCTTCAGCCCAATTTTTCATTTTATTCGCTTCTGTCATGCCGACAAAAAATCTGGAGAACTCTTACTGGACAGGTTCTTTGCTTTTTCATTGCAATCATTTCAAAACGTAAATGAAGTTTAGAATAATTATTCCATATGTTTAAGAAGTGGGCTTAATTCTGTGTTTAAATTTGACAGCTTTTCTGAAATCTTAAACAAACAATTTAGTTCAATTTGCTCCATGCAAGAAGATTTGAAGTCGTTTTTTCCTATGAAAAGCGCAACCCTAAGCATCGAAAAGGTGTATAATTTATCGTGATTATCTTTATAGACATGCGGCAAAATTAAGTACAGCGTAATCTCGATCTGCTCCACTATTAGAGTTAATATGTGACTCAAGCAAAGTAAGAGCATTCCTCCGCTTCTCCACTCTTATCTTCTACAGTATTTCCGCGCGCGAATTTATGTGTCTCTTACGGAGGGTATTTCTATCTAGCAAGTAGAGTCGATCACCCATTCATTTGTATCTTGGAACTGTTTAAGAAGCTTCTACTTTTTTAATATCAAGACTTGTTTTCATGATACCTTGTCACGTTGTTACATAGGAAATGGGACACTCTTTACTTTTTATAGAAATACTGCTTATAAGAATATTCAGGCTTAAAATCATCAAATTTTTAAGGATATAACAAGAATATTTTCCAGCTTCAGCTTATATTTTTGTGGCTCACTTTTTTAAAAGTTGCCTGTTGCGGAATGTTCATAAAAAATCGCATGACTGACGTCTCTCATTTGTTATCTCGTCGAAGTGTGGTTAAGGCTTGGTGAAAAAATAAGAGTCCTTTAAGAATATAAAACTTGCAAAAACGGTAATCTTACAAAAAAACTCAGTCTGAAAATTAATTTGTTACAATCCCAAATGTTCAAGTTTGCCCCAATATTCCCAAAATTGCAAATATCCGAAAACGCCAATCTTTGACTGAAGTGATGGCATTTTCATCAAAATTTATTTCTATCAAAACGACAAAGTTTCACAAAGTGAATTATTTTAAGAGAAAAGTTTTATGTTCTATGGCACACCTTTTCAAACATGCTGGCTTTAATTAGTATGAGTATTTGAAGAATGATATATCCAATTCAAATGATTTTGTCTGTTTTTTAAGATTCACGTGGACGATTTTCTACCTGAGGTATGGCAGGCTATTTAACCCTCCCCCCTTTGCACTGCCAAATGTCTTATATACTTTATACACTTTGCATCTGGCTTTGCAAAAAAGATGATCGGTTGGGAAATGGGTCGTCATGCCAACAGGTATAAACTAGCAACGGCTTTAGGTCGAAGTGATTAATTGTTGATGAATATTTTAGAGCTATGAAGGGAAGCAGTGTTTTAAAGAGAACATCTGTGCGATTCCTGCTGCTTACTTGTTCCATCAAACCAGCGATCTATATAAAGATTTGCTGGCTGTACAGTATGACTTGCTTTAACATTGAATAAATTTAACACAGAGAAAAATCCTAAGTCTTTTGAGGCCCCTCGATACACTTTCATATGTTGTGATTGCTAGTGTGACACTGTATCCCATTGTCCCCTTGACTTCTCTGCCCCAGAAAATTTTAAACAGGTACCATTAAAAATCAGTCAATTTTTTACCACAAATGATTTGATGAAAAAAACAAAAGTGTCATATTTTACCATAATTAGTGTAAATTGATTAAACAGCTACTAGCCCAGAAACCCCGCTTTACAGGTAACCTACTTCCCTTCAATTGATAATAGAAACATTACCCTCGGAGAGAAAAGAATTACCTTCAATCTCAAGATGACGAGATGCGCTCCCGGAGGGGATCATGAATTAAAAAGCATGTTTTGATCTATTTTGTTAAAAATTTTAACTCGCGCTACTGTGGCTATAGCTAGTCAAGGGGCCATCCCAATGGAAAAAGAGGGTCGTGGCTTTAAGCCGAGGGAATGACGCGATGCATTTGTGCAAAGCGAATGACGCGAATGCGGCGGTGGTTGAACGGAATTCAACCGGTCGTATTCGTAGAGTCATGATTTTGGTTTGACTGCAATACGAATGGTCAAAAAATGAGGCTCCCGAAAGAAAGGCTAGGCTTCGTTAGATTAGTTCCATTCTTTTAAAGGGAATTCATTACTTTATGTGGCCCCCTAGAGCTGGGGGCCCGGGGGCAATTGGCTCCAGTGCCAGAGTCAAGAATGACGAAGCTGTGATTTTTATAAGAACCTTTCCTATGGCGTCTTCAACTTTGCAAAAAGCATGCGTCAAGCGGGTAGGCTTCATAACCATTACTATTTCTAGTATCCTTTCATTACCCAATTGTTGAAATTGTCAAGCTTCCTTCAAGATAACACGATGTCTTAAGATTCAGGATACGTCATACACTTCTGTTCCTACCTGGCAACCAGAAAAATTCTTCTATATTCCTCAAAACCCTAAATATGTTCGTTAACGACCGACCCTAATCATATTAGCCACGAGTTTTAAACAGGCCTCTTTTATCACCCATATCGTTTCGTTTGCACCTTCAGTGAGGTCTTTCTGTCAATGATGTATTTTGCTCTCAATGACGGCCTTTTACTATAGTCGCAGCATATGAAAGACCAATGTCCAACAATTGGTCTATAGAATAAAGATTTTCTTGTGTTGGTCTGGCGATTTCGGATCAAATCGGAAACGTTTCCAGCTTTCGATGTGTTTTAAATGAAAGCGGTTAAAGAATCGTAGAAAATTCTCAATCCATTTAGTGGAAAAGACTCCTTGTCTTTTAGAAATGGTTTAAAGTCCAGAAAATCTTGTTTGTTTTGCATGCCAGCTTGTGTTAGACTGGTTCAAAGAACCTTGTAATAGAATCCGAGATATGATTCTTCAGTCTGATATATTGATTTTTGTGTATGAAACGACAATAACAGAGGAAACTGGCTACAAAGGCTCGGAGATACATGGATTTTCGAAGAGTTGTATTTTGAATTGAGCCAGTGATTCTCTCCTATTATTCTGAAGATGTTTATCTTACGCTCAGAACCGTCTATGGTGCAGCTTGCGCGTGACAAAGAATCATCAAAGAATCGCAATTCGTCTGATTTCACATAATGTGAGCTTTTAGAGACAGTGATATTCAACCAGTCGACTTATTTTCATTTCCAGGTTTCAATTTTGGCTACCTGCATAGCAAATAGCAAACATTTTTTTTAAGTATGATGTTTTTTAGGATTTTTTGGACAAATATGGGTTCATGATTCAAGTCAATGTCAACTATACATTTAAGACGAAATCTGATACAAAGAAATGGATAACCAAAAGATGAATACAAGAATTTTTATAAAACTCATACCTTACTGACCGAAATTAATTTGGCCTGGATAATATAATATAACCTTGGATTGTAGCGTTCCTGATAGTATGCTCAAACTGATAAAATGATTGAGGCACTGGATGCTCAAACGCACCAGCGACAAAAGATGACAAATTTTCAAATACGTCTTATTCTTCAATGCAATGAAACGTTTGTGTAATCTTGAAGCTAACGTAATCTTGGGGATATATGAGCCAATATTTGCTTATTTGACAAGTTTAGTTCATCAGGTTACGTCTAACATTTTCGCCTTTAAACATAATAGGCTATATGAACTCTACGCATTTTAGTAAGATATATTGTTAATAATTGGAAACTTGCCCTTTGCTTCTCTTTGATGTGCAAAAGTAGGTCCCAAATCTTCTTCATTTTGAGCTTCTTCACTCTTCTTCACAAGCCCTTTTGCACGAGCAGACCTCACATTGACATATCTTTTGCAAAATTAAATTTATCCTTTGCATTAATGCTCTACTTTTCACAATTTAGATAACTTATCCCAAACATGATTCGTTGACACAATGAAGATATTCAATAAAATGTGGATCTGTTGGCCATTTCGATTTTTCATTGCATTCTATACAGCTTTTCAAGTAAAATATACAACTGGCATAACCCCAAGCCACTCAGTGACATTAATTGACAGAGACTACTCATATATAGAGTACGAGCATTGGAACTCAACGAGCATGGTACAGCTGTCGTTTCAATTCAAAACATACTGCTCTCCTTGTTTGCTTTTGTATATGGACAACAAGACAGGAAGGAAGGAAACTGATAATTATCTGCTACTGGCTCTGCTTGATGGACAGCTCAATGTGTATATCCACCGAAAAAGCAGCTCGAACTACTTGAAAAATACGTTTACCCTAGCCAAAGATCTTACAGATATTAACTGGCACAAAGTGGAAATCAAAATATCAGACTCGGGATCATTCATTGGTGTTGATAAGGAAAAAAGAACATTGGTTGACGATGCTCTACTGCTTTCGTCACCGATGTATTTTGGAGGAATAGAGACGATGCGAATATATCTGGAGCCGTGGATAGAAAGAGAATCAACTACATGCAGAGGTATATTCTTGTCTCCAAAACATACTTCTAATGCATTTTAGGTATTTATGGTCCGATTTCTCACGAACGTCGATTTTAAGTTCTCTCTTTAGGCCGTATTTTTAGAAATGGTTGCAAAATTGCTTGAAATCACATCGAAGTTTTCTTCAATTTCAATATTTTGACAGTTGGAAATTGTTCTAATTGTTTGTTTAAATTCTGCATGCTTTTTCTCAAGGAAAGCTTATTTATTTGTAGATATGCACCTATTTGCTTAATTTCCATTGTTCCTTTAAATTCTGACACTAGGTTTGTCGGGTGCATTGGTTCAGTGACAATTGAGCTGAAGAACACGACAAGAAAGCGAGGCCTAGCAATCAGAAGCAGCAAAACACAGTCAGGCTGTCTCGATAAATGCAGGGAAGACTCTTGTGAAAACAATGGCAGATGCTTGAATTGGTTCACAGAGACAGCATGTGACTGCATCGGCACTGGATTTCAAGGCCCAAGATGCACAAGTGGTAAGCAGACCTTTGATGAATGTTCGCAGTGAACATATGAATATTACATGACTTGATTTACTTTCAGGAATTGGTTTACATAAATTTCACGTTTTTTCAGGCACCACGGAGCGTCAACAGCTGTATTTGGATAGGTCCAACTTCGACATTATCAAAATCACTTACAAAAATGCTTGGAAGCACTTTTCAGCCTTTTTCGTCGTGCTATAATTTTTGACGAGGTCTCCTGGAACACGTCGATGTGTTCCAATCTGCTGGTTTTCATCATCTGTTTTTAATTCGTGAAATAATTTTCCATCCCTTAATGTTTGATATCTCCTTTGCATCACCCCCCCCCCCCCCAATCACATCTCTTACTTTTGACTATATTCTTGCAAACAGGTTTTAGCAACATCAAAAGCTGTTTGGGAGTTATATTTAAATTATCTGTTCAGTGCATTTTTCATATAATTGCATAGCATTTGCAATTGTCGTCTATTTAGAAATTTAAACTAAATTAATTAGTTTTCTTTTCATGTTCTTCTTCCATTAGCAGCTACCGACGTTGTATTCTTAAACAAATCTGAATTCATAAATATCACTTTGAGCCAATGGCGATACCCCGTGACGTTTAGATTGAGATTCCGCACCACTCAGGCAGATGGCCTTCTTCTTGGCACAAGACAAGGCCCTGATGGCTTTCATATTTCAATCGAAGACGGCTATCTTAAGGTCCACTTACAGCCCGGACAAGGTATTTGATTTTAAAAACAGCAATTACTTTTTGCACTTCTATTGCTCAACTTTTAGGTTACATTGTTTCGTTACATAAATAAGCTGTGACCTAAGTCCGGCCTTGTGTTCAAGTAAAGCTTAACTTAATTTAGAGCCATGGAATATTTTGTGTCAACCCCCTCTAAATGTAACAGTGATTTTAGCTCGTTGCTATAGAGTGAATCACTTTTTCGACATCCCCTGCAAAATGATGACAACGATTCGAGTTTTTAAAAGCCATTGCTTGTGTCTGTAAGTTAGAAGCTATTGACTGATGAAGATGTTAACAGTTATAGGATATATACAATTGAGAACAAGGCTAGAAATAAAAAAAACTATGAATGGTTAATGTTGGTATATCTTGTTAGAAAATCGAAAGTTTTTCTAACGGTCCGGCCAATTGAGACAACTGGACGATGTTGTCTGGAAAATACTAAACCAATAGATAAGTAATGCAAAACATTGATAAGTTACTTTTCTAGAGAGGTGATACATATACTTGAAAGATTGTCATCTCAGAAAATTATGTCATTGACCAACAAAGATGCAACTCACATGGCTGATGGATCGGGTACGGATAAGGGAGAGGGGCCCCATCTAAAAAAACTTCACTTCTTACTGATCGACTTAAGCATGATATTTTAATTTGTTTTGATTATACCATACCAGCGATCATTTGACAATGTTATTATATATTATCTTATCGTTTTTTGCAGTTTTCTATCTTGGAAAAGGCCTTCTTCACGATGCCCAATGGCATTTCTTGACAATAAAGATATCAAAGGCAGTAGTTGACATCACCCTTGACAGAAGGTACGGCCGCACACAGTGTTTTTTGCCTTCCCCCTCTGCCATAATAAGTTCTATTTAATTCTTAGTAAATTGATATAATTTTGTAAGGTTGGGCAAAGTTAGCCTATTAGCAAACAGAACGTCCCATTTAGTAATTACAACTCTTGATATGCTCTATTTCCCACAGTAACAAGTACAAGTTATCAGAAAATGAAGAATTAGAAGAGTACTGTGCAACTGCATACACACTTACTCTCATAAGAACACACTTCATCTTTGTAAGAACAAAGAGGCTCAAGTTTTCAAAATTTCAGTACAGTATAAGCTTGAAGAAAATTTAGTCTGTTTTTTAAAAATTTTCTTGTGTATTTATAAAACAGAGCAGATCATCTAATAAACTGTGTTTCTAAAAAAGCCGAACTAAAAAGTTAGTGGTCTTAAAAACAATTTACTGTATGTCGATAAAAAATAATTAATGTTGATTTAAGAACGCTCGAGCCTCAAATTATCCTAATGAAGAGCATCAATCCTTGGTAAAATTTACTTTGGTCTTACAAAAAATATTGCATTAAATTAGATTTCTTAGTAGCTCTAGAGCGTTATCTACAAATTTGTTTTCTCAAAGATCAAGTGAGACATGGAATGGTGGACAGCACCTGCAACTTATCAGCTTCCCCATTTACATAGGAAGCATTCCAGGGTATCAAGAACAGTCAGCCTCCGCGAAAATCCATTCTTTTGTTGGATGTCTTCAAGATATCTATGTGGCTGAGGTTTGAGCACAGTGACACAAAACTTCTTTAATACAATGATCAATATAACAATACAATATAATCCTTAATTCATGTCTTTCAAATTTTAAAACATATTTGTACATCATCAACCCCCATTAAACATTTCCCTTTTGTACATGCTTGCTTTGTAAAAAAAAATTTAAAGACAACTTATCATTATACATGTTTTTTGCTAAATGAACAGATCCTGTAGCATAAGGAAAGTTTGCCTTCTTTAAGAAAGATCAAGATGATAAAAAAGACTGGACTATAAGAAGAATGTTTGCATGTCACTTTCAAAACCATTCACATGCAATAGTGAGCAATAACAAAGCAGCTGTTTTTATTTAATTCTGTAACTGTACTTCCTCTTTTCATTTTTGTAGATAGATGTTATTTACAAAATGCTTTATACTGGAGATTCAACGTTATCTTATACAAAAGATATTCTAAAACATTGTCCAATGAGGCAAGAGAGCTTAGAAGAAGCTAGAAAGCGGATTTTTGGTAAGTTATGTTTAGTAAATTGAAAATAATGACAATGATATGTTTTCATACACCTTTCTGAGTCCTTAAAATGTTAGCAGTTTGTTATGGAAATAGATAAACAAAATATTATCTTGAAGATTTCATTTTATAGTATTCTTGGGCTAGGAGTGGTACTTAAGAGTTACGCTGCTTTATAATGATAATATTAATATAAAAATTTATGTAATAATAGTAAATGTTTATTACGACACAACTAATTTTAAAATTTTATCAAATGATACTGAGGCTGTTTGTAAACGAGGTTGTATGAATTTTCTTGCTTTTTTATCATATAATAACGACTGATGCTGTGATTTATCATTGTTATATTGGCTATCATTGAGCCTTAAAACAAGGCCGGATGATAAAACAAATAATCTAAGTAAGATAAAGCTGAAATAAAACTGAAACTAATTATCAATCCAAGACCAGTCTTTTTTAAAGACAATCAAAGGTTTTAATGTAGAATCTAGCAGTTATCTGCTATGAATGATGGAGAAGCAAATCAGATGTTGTATATATTTTTCAACCTTTCCTTTTAACTTCATCTTTATTTTTTCGATTCTTTTCATTAATTTTTGGTAGATTTTAGTCAAGTTATAGCTACTTGTTCCCTTTTAGCTGAGAAATTGCGAAAGCCGTCTACCAAGGCACCTTCAACGCAACATCAAAATGAAATGATAAGAAATGCGAAGCGAGCAGACGGCAAA